ATGTATACTTGGTGGGTGCCAAAACAAAAAGGACAATATACACATATATTTATATATACATACTACAACTGTATAGTAGTTAATTATACGAGTTGGGCCATGTTTTGGTGCTTGCAAAAGATTGAACGTGTGATGGCAATAAACAATGATACAAGGCAATTGATATCTTCATGGCCCAAACATGAAGCCATGTTCTCCAGCTCCACCACACCCAACACATCCTTCAGTCCAACACTTCATGCATTTGTGGGGTGCTTTTCACTTCAGTCCAACTCCTTCGCTCCGTCCAACTCCTTCGCTCCGTCACCCATAGTCACCCCATAGTTAGCTGATCCCGGACCTTTCAGCACGATCAAGGGCACGGCGCGAAGATAGCTGGCCAGGCCCAGGCGCGTGCCGATCAGCAGCCCCACACCGAGACCGAACGTACAAACCTCGGCACGTACAGCATGGCGCCCTTGCTGACTGAAGGTATCGACAGCCAAATAGATAGACAAGTAGATCCGCACTCAAAAGGTATTGGGAACGGTGCCACTATCTACAGTATTTGGGGACCACTGGAAAATATGTTATAATGTAACATATATATATATACTATGGGGTTGACTGCATCATTGTGGCTTAGTACCCCCGTGCTAACACACTGGAAAGACTTGACACCGAGTGAGTTCTCCCGGCGTGGGGGAACCTTCTTATCCTTCTTTCAGTTTGTCTTTCAGGTCGAATCCTTGAGCTTAACTTTTGGGCAAATGTGGGACAACTGTGGTTGAATCTATCAGATGCTCCAATCTGAATCCTCATCTGCTCCATCAATTGATCCCAACAAAACCGCCCGGTACAACCGTCCCACGCCTAGAGACGAAGCAACTGGCCAAGCATGTGGCCTGCAGTTCCTCCGGTGATCTGTCATGCATCTTGCTGGCGATGTTGAGAAACAGGGCGTGCATGATGGGAATCATTTCCTCAAGGTGTGAACATTTGGAGTGTCTCAGCCGACAAAGAATTCCATATATATATATGGCTGTGTCTTTTGTGTCCAAACAGAATGGTGTGATTGAACCCAGAATCGTGGCGCAAACGCAGGTGTGTAGCCAACAAACTATGTTCATATACGGTTAAGCTCTTTACATGTAGGCACTATATATATATATTTATTTATACCACCATCATGATGGTGGGTGGTAATAATTCCCTGTGTAGAAACAATGTTGTCACATGTCACTAAGCCATCCTATTATTTTAATATTATATATGGTGGTTGATCAATATTCTTTCATCCTGGAATGGCCATTCATCGCGGAAAAAAAGATATCTTTCGCGGCCTCATCGCGAAGCATGGTCCTACAACCATGTCTAGCTGCGAGTCTAGCTAACATGAGCCGGAACATGTCATAGTATCACAAAATAGGGAGACAATTGTGCCAAATAGAGTCAGGCACAACTCAACCCAATCCTCGTGTCAGCTGCCAACACAGGGTGATGCAGCATGGGGAATGCTCGGGGGCCTCAAGCTGGGAACCTAGACTTTAGCGGTACATTCGCGAAACTTTCGCGGATCTTTCGCGAAATTTCACTGCTGCTTTCCCCGGGAAGCCGTAAAATTTGCAAACATCTGCACAGCCCGTCAGAGCAGCTGCAGGTCGTTGCCTCACTGTCAGGGCTGTGCCTACCCAGATTGCTAGTCTGTGACAGTGGGGACAGGAATCGGAGAATCCTTTACGCACTGCCAGGGCTGGGCACGGAAATGTTGAGGCTTCAGTTCGTTAGTCTGTGACATATGGGGCACTTCCGCCCACTGGCTCTGCCGGAGGATTGCCTTGCGTTTCTATTCTTTGTCAGTTCGGTGGAAAGGAAAACAATGAAAGCGATGACCTTCGATAAATCTTTCGCGGAAAAAAAAGATACTTTCGCGAATCTCATCGCGAATCTTTCGCGGATGGTTCTAACAACATCTGAAAGGCTGTTTTATATAAAACTCCTTACACGGGGTTTTCGATCAACTCCCATATGTATAACCGACCAACAATGGATATCGCCAGCCTTTACTCAAAGGATGGGCATAGCTCTTCAGCTTGCTCGAGTCCTGCAAGTCACCATAGAATGAGGGATGAGTGCTGAAACAACATCTGCAAGTATGACCAAGCACCCACCAGCTAGACGCAATGCTTGCCCTAGCAGAGCGCCCCAACTGCCAGAAACAGCTGGAGAACTTCGCATGGTTCCGTGCCCCAGAAGGGCTACGGCTTCGTATAGTCGTTCCCGGCCGTTCGAATCCGGACTCGGCCCAAAAACCATCGTGCCAAGAGTCCAGCATGGGGCAAGAGATGCCATTTTGAATGTTCGACACCAGCAGGGTACCAATCTGGGTGCCAATCGTGCTCATCAACCAGATCACGGTGCCATTTGGCGCATGGGAGGTCGCAGGGCTGGCAAAGAGCAAGGTACCTGGCGCTGCGCCATGTAGAAGCACTTCCGACCACCCGGCACCAACTGGGCAAACGAAAACACTCAAACACACCACACTTGGCGCCTTGCTATGTGCAAGCGTGTGCAATGTTAACGGATCTAACCCGAGATTGCTCAATGAAGCGATTCACAATTGGCAGTTCGGTATAATACCATTGAATTATCCACACAGCGCCAAGTGCCAGCCAAATACCATAGCTGACCGCGTTGATGGCACTCATCAACATTGCCACGCTCAAAGCAGGAATCTCCCGCAAAATACCTCAGTTTTTGCGACCATAGACTGACCGTTTCCAGTTTCGGGGATTCCCAGGCACCGACCACCCTCCATGGAAGTGGAACACCCCGTGGAAGACTGGAATTCCTCTATCAACAGGCTGTATTCACACTTCCATGATTGTTTGAATACAGCCTGTTGATAGAGGAATTCCAAGAACAATTCACTCTTGTAATAAGGTAATTATGGTGAGGGTAATTCCAAGCACCGTACCAATTCACTCTTGTTTCAGCTCGCAGTGTGGGTCGTGGAGACAGTCGCACTGTCGGTCGTGGAGGATTGATCCTTTACACGAAATTCTTTGCAAGCATGGAAGCGGGAAAGGTTTACCTATTAGATCCTATAGTAGAGGATTTCATTTTGCACTTCCATGATTCTTTCAGGGAGTGTACAGGAGAAGGTGCCGGAATCTTTGTGGCGCCACAAACCCGTATGTTCGACATCGTCGTGCGCCGGCAAGGCGCTCTGAAATGATGCGAGGTGCGGATAACAATTATTTCAGGACGCCAAAGGGTCGAATTCCCTGATGGAGGTGTTTGTGATCAATTCGGGCGCAGATTCCGCGACCACCGCCGTTTTCAGGCCGGGGTGATGGTTGTTGATCCGCGGGTGACTGCAAGTCACCGAGTCTTTAAAGGCAAAAGATCTGAGATTGTCTGAAATTAACAATCTGCATTGCATGTATGCATGGTTAGTACAAGCTGGCGCAATACATATATTACATTGTTGTACATGTTAATGATTGCTACATCTTTCATGCATACACCAGCCAAGGTTCACAATCGGGGGGGCTGCACTGTACCTCGTACAGTCCGTTTTCCTTCTCCTCAAGCCTCCTCAAGCCAGAATCACGGAAGGATCTTGACTGGTCAATAAGTGTCCGCCCCCCGACGTCTATTATTCCATTCTGAACCAACAGTACGGGTGGGGCATGGGGGGCCGAGCGGGGTGCTTGATCATCTTTCACAGACATTTTCACCATCTGAAAGAGATCTTCCCCGCTTGGCATTGCTTCGCCGAGCGTCGATTTCTTGAGATTCGCCGAGTAGTCTTTGATACACTCCCTCCGTGTTCTTGATCCGATTTCAAACCCACTCCAAAATTCCAACTATTTCTTGAAACTTAAAAACCATTCTCCATCTTCCATGCTGGGCTCCCCAAAAATATCCGCTCCACCTTCGCCTTGGGCCACGCGACTGGTGCTTTCCACAGTTGCTGCCGGCGCAGAATGATCCACTGACACGGTGCGGAATGTGTGCGACAGGCGGCGCACCTTCCGCTGGAAGCCCGGAGCCAACTCCTGCGGAGCCCGGAGCCAACGGTGAAATTGCGGAGAGAGATCAAAGAGTGACACAAGTGGTATCGATATGTAATTACCGAAATAAGGGTGCAATCATGCGAATGATAGATGAAGCAAATTGAAACAATGTTCTGTCTGGGACTCCATTCTGGGATCTCTCTCTCTGCAAGATCTGAGCCCTTCACAAAGTAAATAGGGAAAGCCTCCAACCGTGCTGGGATGTAGTATCTCTCCCTGTTCCAATACAACCACCGCCCCATACCGCCCCAGCTCCTCATGCCCATTGGCTTCACCAGCCTCTGCCCCTTCTAACAAGGCATGATGCAACATGGCTAAAAAGGGCCATGCGTCGCTCAGCTAGGTGGAAAGTCTGTGAGTCGCATGCGGATCTGTTTGAGGTCTGATTGAAACGAAGGCAAGGAGTCGTCAACAACCACTTAAACATTCGACATGATATGAAGAGTCGTGTCGGGCTTCTCCTGCAAAGTATCATCTAATTATTGAGAGCTCATGGTGCTAAGTCCTCAATATCTATCTATAGTCTATATATATATAGCTCTGGTGTCTTTTGTTCGCGTGGAACAACTGATTCCGTCAATTCAATCTTTTGCTGGCATGTTCAATCTGCCACATGCCGCGCCAAACGCCTGCCGCAGCCTTCTCTGGCAGCCGAGACATCGCCGTTCAGAACGACCAGGTCTGCTCCGGTCACCGTCAACGGATTCAGGGAAACGAGGACCGAAGCCCGAGACGTTCCGAGTTGCATGGACCAGAGGTACGTACCATGATGCACAAGTAGGTGGCGAGACAGCGCAGTTCATGATTGGGCAAATCTTTGAAGTAGAGCAATCAATCCATTTATACAGAAAGGAAGAACAAAGCTGATGGAACATGCATACATCACTGCTTCTTCATGCTACATGCCGATAGCAGTGCTGCGGTGCAAAAATCAAAGTACTGAGTTGGAAGTCTTGTTCTGCAATCCTGTCGTGAAGCTGGGAAGGCCACAGAAACGGTGTATGTTTGTGTATGTTCATAGGGAGACCCCCTGGCCCTGGCTGGGTAGACCGCCTACGTCCGAACCAGCGATCTGCACTGCTTCTTTTTCGATTGCACAGCTCCTCAAATGCCCTGGCCATCATGTCCGCGGCATGTCCCTGGCCATCTGAACAGCTCATGAGGCATCTCAGCTGGTGACAGAACTGGCTCGTCCTGGCCATCCGGGCAGTGGTAAATAATATGCTGACCAGCTATCACAGACCCTAGGGCTCCAAGTACCTTCTAAGAAGGTGTTTAGGGTGGGTGCCAGGAGGGTCCAGTCATACCTTCTGAGGAGATACGACTTGTTCGCCCTAGGGAGAGAGCACCGATTCGCGCCGATTCCAAGGTCGTTCCTGTGGGATTCCGCTTTGAAGTGCACGGCCGATCTCAGATGCGATTCCCTGGTAGTGCCGTACACTGATCGTATTGGTGTCTGATTGCTGCTTCTGTATTTTCCATCTGCCGCATCTTCTGCAACGATATCCAGAAGGGTCAGCTGACGAAGCTCCTGATGTTTGAAGCTGCTTTGATACAAAGGATACTAAGGCTGGTTGCTATTCTGCCTTCTACAAAGCCGTTTGAAGTCGCAGGCACCTTTCACCACAGCAAACGGATCTCTTTTTCCCCACGGCAGCCAAAAAAATGCGGATCTTTGCTGACTTGGATTCAGTCAGGCGCGCTTTTGATTCTGCAGAGGAAAAAAAAAGGAGGCACATGGAGGCACCAGGCACTGGTGGTCTGCAACTGCCTTGCCGGTTTGTCCACTTGCGGCAAAGGCATCCCAACAATGGAAAGAGAAACCTAATGGTGCTCATCCTCCCGAACGATCAAAGGACTCCACAGGCCTGGGCTCCTGAACTGCCAAAGGAGCCAGTGGACTCGGCCGTCACTGCCACTGAGAGGAAACCAAAGTGATCCCAAGAAATACAACAAGTGAGCTTCACAATTGAACTTGAACAAGTCAGCCAAGAAACCAATGGATTCGATCTTTTACAATGCCATGTCCCCTTTCAAAGCAAGATCCTGTTTCATTGTTTCTATCTATTGGTCTCCACATCTCTCTCACTTAAGCCATTGGGATCCACCGGTCTTCCTTATATAGCTCCAAATAGCTTCAGTGGCTAGGCCAAGTGCCAGATCGATGACTCTGGCAGCGCCAGCCACCTAGCAGCCAAGCCGCCCCAGCTGCTCAGCCACAGCTATGGCACCCAACGCATGGCACCCGGCTTGCGCAGGATAAGAGTGAACGATATTGTATGGATGATGTAGGGATGTATAGGGTTGTGGAGACACACGTGCTTCAGTCACACGAGTGATTGGATGAACAATTCATGGTTTCTTTCTTGACCGCCTTCTCGTTCCCATTTCTTACAGATTGCGGAATCCACCAAATTCCACTACCCCAATCACGGTGTGGCTGAGTCGTTTTTGCGCACAACAAGCCATTTGGAGGACAAGATCCGTCGATCAGCCTCTCAGGCAGTTAATTGGCTTTCAACTGGAACATGAAGAGCCTGGTCGTGGGAGACAAAAGCCCACCCCCGAAGGAAAACTTGGCCATTCTTCCAACGTGACGATGGCTGTTGCCATAAGGTGTCTATATAATTGAAAGACGAATGACAACAAATGACAAATCAGTCCGCTATGTTCCGGGATTTGCATCTGTCTTCTGCGGCGGATTCTGAGAGCAGTGCTCCAGTTTGAAAGCCAGCAGGTGTGACCATCGGTACCAGAGGCCATACATGGGGATGTTCAAGATTTATGACAAAAACACACAACAATATTAATTATACAGTCGTCCAGGAGATTGTCACGTTGCAAATGTCCATGCTCGACTCTATCATCTGAGGGATATATATATATATATAAATAGATCGTTTATAAACCCTATCTGTCAAAAGGTGCCATTTGCACACATGTCTGCTTTGCAAATCCTCCAAAGTGCTCAGAGCTGAACATCACGCCTTGTGTCCCTCCTGACTGTCGTTGTCAATCTGCATGCAGGGAACCTAGTAGTCTATAGCGGTCCCCAAAAAAAGATTAGACCGGTGACTCCATTGTGCATCAATATTAGTGTCTATCTTTGGCGTCACCCTGCCGGGTATTTTAGACTATATAATACCACGGCTTTATGTCTAAACCGCAACCCATGTAGCCTCCGGTCAAAACCTCTAGTCGCCAATGAATTGATTGAAACACCACGAGAGCTCAGGGGCGTCTCTTTAGGTCTCTGTGAGAGCAGCAGCACTTTCTGTTAGGTCAGACATGTCCTGATAGAGTGCCGAATAACGCCATGTGCCAGATCTCCTTCAGCATGCTTCCTTACTTTAGAGAGGAACATCGGTGAGGACTAGCAAGGAACGAACCTGGGTTGGTTAATTAACTAAGTTGCTTACACCAATGTGGTCATTAGATGGAAAATACGTCTTCAATCGTCTTCAGGGGGTCTATAAACCACCATGAGGGTGGTGCTGGCATAGTTGTGGTTGTTTGGTAAATCTGCTGCTTGCGACACGTTCCGGACACGAAACTCAGTGCATCCTCCTCCGGAGAATGCTGAAGAGATGATCCTCAAGCGGCGGACAATGCACCAGGCACATTGTATCCCATTACCAGCAGCAGCGGATGATGATCGTTAGTAAAGAGCCATTTGGCCAGAATAGTGATCATCTTGTACCGACCGTTACTGGTAATGGGACATGACATATCGATATACCTTGGATACAACATAGTAGAGTGACCTGGGAATCTCACAAGCCATCATTTGGAATGGTCTTCCAAGCATTGGGAATTGTAAATGAACCAAGAAATGGATTGGGGAGAACATTCCAGAATGGGGCTCCACCAACCCACCAACACTCTTGGTGACATCTTGCGATTGTTGCTGTCGTTTTCCTGCCATCTGTCTCGTGCTAAGCACGCCACAGTCTTGTGAATTCGCATAATTGTATCATGTTTACCTTTCTCCACGAAGAGAAGAAGGAGATGTGTTGATTTGTTTGGGTGTCCTATTGTTGTTTGACAAGGGTCTGCTTTGAAGATGACCAAAAAGAAACAAACTTTCCATCTGCAGCAACTCTTCAGCAGGTGTAGACTGTGTATAGATAGTTACTGTATACATGTCATATGTTTTTGGTTGGTTTAATTACACCAAATATAGAGGATACCATGCAAGGTTGAGGGCTCATGGATACAAGGTGAACCCATGAACCCCGGGAGAAATGCTGAACCTGTGTTTTCTCGATCAGTGAAGCCATGATCACCCGATGTGGCAACGAGTTACGTTCGTTGCCTGGCCACTCAGTTGCCGACATGACTTCACGATCTAACCATATCTAACCTGACTTCACGGGCCGAAACTGATTTCATGGACCCTACGTGAGTGGGATGAACAAGGGATGAAGAGTTGGTCGACTTGGTGGTGAGAGTTCTAGCCGTTTCTTCAGGGTGAAGAGCTTCGCCCTTTTTCATCTTTTTCACTTCGAAAAAAAGCCACCGACTCGTCTCTTCGCCCATCAACCTGAGACCACAGACTTTGGACGGGGACGGTTGGGAAACGTAGAAAAATTCGACCTGAGTTCACATCGATTTCGTTCGAAACGTCCTCAGTTTCGGGACTTCACTCGAGTTCGAATAAAACCGTCGCTCCGTTCCCGCTCCGTTCAAACCCGCGGGAAGAACAGCGGGTTTCGGCTTTGGACATCGAGTCCGGTCCGCGCGTCCGGGACGGTGCCAGGTCTCATACATCTTCTCGCTGTGGTGGCAATCGAACCTCACAGATCCAGTCGACCCGGTCCGTGGACCCTGGATTTGGGTTGACCACTGGGTTGACAGACCCATCTGGCCCATCTGCAACACGTATATAAATCTATATTCTATATTCCTTGTAATGGCTTGGGAACCCCATGGGTTCTTGGTCAATGCAGCTGTATATCGAGGATAAAGTTTCCCTGCAATGTGTTGTGGATCTACTACTGATGGCTGCTGGCCTGGCAATACTATATATTATATATATAGCTATTGTATAACCCAAATTTGTGGCAGGTCTGGCAGGAGGTATGTCATGGCATATCAAACATCGACAGTGTTGCCTCGTTTGTGCGCCAAGGGTGGCACTCTCGTTACAGGTAGCAGCGGGGGGCCCTTGCACTATTGTGTCTCAGACCCTGGATGCAAGAAATCCTCCATGCTGTCAAACAATGTCAAACACTGTACCACTCTTACTAGTCTGACTATGAACCACTCTAGGTACAGTTGCTCTTACTTGCCAAAAAAAGGTGTTGAAGTTGAGACCTTCAGTTCCTTTCGTGTCTTCTACTTGATCTTGTCACTGGATGAAATAACTTGATCAACTGAATCCAATTTCGCTCGGTGGGACACAATCCTCTGCCTTTTCTCTTGTATAGGGCCCGACCAGCCAGTGGAACAGCCGTTTGGAACAGCCAAGCAAACAGCCGGTCGGTACCCTCAGCTTTCTGGGAAAACATGAAAACAACGTCTTCCACCTGATTCGATCTGATTTGACTGCGGGAGACACAAACACACACACGATCACGGCGCGCCGAACCACTCACGTCGACTGCGTCATGATCCTGACGAAGTGGCCAAGTCCCCAAGGAGTGATCGGAGTTGGGCACGTGAAGCCTTGGTAGGTTGGAGACCGTCGCTATTAGGTTGGAAGCCATCGCCGATCGCTATTAGGTTGGAGGCCGTTGCTATTAGGTTAGAAGCCATCGCCGATCGCTATTAGGTTGGAGGCCGTCGCTATTAGGTTGGAAGCCATCGTTTTCGGTTGGAGGCCATTGCTAATATGTAGGCTGGAGGCCATTGCTAGTAGGCTGGAGCCAATCGCTACTAGTTACAATAAAGGTTTCTAGTAACTCTAGAAGCTTCCAGGTGGAGGCCATCACTAGCGATGCTTTGGGTCCCAAGCTCCAATGATGGCGGCCCGTGGAGACGTCGGCAGTTGGCTTGGTGGTAGTTGGTTGAGACCAAGAAGTTGTTGGTCCAAACATGTCCAAACAAGAACATGGTCGGGTGTCCACTATAGATCTGTCAACGGAGATCTGCTCCTCGCGTTCCCTATATGCATATCCATACATCCCATACAGGGCCGAACATGGGAACACTGTGCTATATATATCGGGGTATGAAGAGGATAATTATGAAGA